ATAGTATACTTTGTTTAGCAGCAGGGACTGAACTTCTTTCTTAAACTTATGATCATTATCAATATTCTTTATCCTGTTTGGTAGCTTATTATATAATTTTTTTTCCAAAATACTGTGGCAACTTTTCAAAGGAACTTAATCTATGAACAGGAAACTGGAAATCACTTCTGTTCCTAGTCTGATAATTGTGAATGTGTTGATCTTCCATTAACATATTAAAGTTAGATTTGACATAAAACAGACATTTACTAATGTACATAGATGATAGTGTTAAAATTTTGAGTTCCCTAAAAATAGATTTACAGGATGTTCTAGGTTTAGAATTTGTCATGATTCTAAGATACTTTTTTTGTAATTTTAAAACAGACTACATACCTGAACTACCTCCCCAAAGTTCAACACCATACTGCATTGAAGAAGCGAACAATGCATGATATACAATCAATCTCGTCTGTAAGTCAGTAAAGAGTCACTAAAGAGTGTTCTGATGAAGGTTAGCCTACTGCAATTATTATCTTAGTTATTTACTCATCTGTGTCCTGTAAGTCCTTGTGACATTGGACGTCGATTGGACTAATTGTAGTGACAGAGGAGAGTGTTGAAAATATAATGGGATTCATAATTGAGTTTTCCATTCAAAATTATTGACCATAATAACCAATTTTTATGCTAGATATAAATGATGGTCTTGAATTCTACAGTACTATGCGAAAGGAAATTTATTAAACTAGTGTGCCTGTTGCTCGAAATCGAGCAATTGTCTAGTACCGGTATTATACAGGAGATATTAAAAAATAACAGTCATCTTCTATGAGTGCTCAAAATCAATCAATTGTCAAGAACCGTTATTATCGTTGTTGCCGTTTTGCGCGTAGTTACGCTTTTTGCGCGGATTTTGGGGGGCTGCACGGATTAGGGTTGTGAGCGGATTTTGCGCAGATTTCACCCAATTGTAAAGTATTTTAAAATATATGGGAATTTCAACGGCAAATCAGGACACTTTGTACTATGTGACTCAAGAGGAGCACTTTCTTTATGAGTAGGAACTAAGGATTATATTATAGTGCATTCAAGAATGATCGATGATGTTTTTTTGTTTACTTATTGTTCTCTTCACTCCCTTTACTTCTATGTCTACGAATGACGAATCCTATAATCAGGTTGTCACTTCTAGAGATTTAATCGTTTTCTGGGGATATTTTACTACCCGTTCTAGTGATTTTCCTCTGGACGTTGGTTTGTGGCAACACTGCTAACCTAACCAAACAGGCAAACAAAACAAAGTACAAACAGAAACAAAACAAACTAACCAACGACCAACATAACATAAGCTTTAATAAAGCAAAGGGTAAAATATATCAATCACGGACGTCTCGCTAAAATTATATTTTTTTCACTAAGCACCGTTTCCCCAGAAAAGCAAAAAAACAAAAGTTGTTTGAGTTTATGTTTGTCAAATTAATTACTGTCAAATATAAATACACTTACGACACAAATTCATTCAGGACTCAGAACAAAAAAACAGTACGTTTCCTCGTCAAAACAACATTCATACCACAAATAAGAGAAAACCAACAACTCCTGTCTTAATTTATTGTTACCTCTAACCCAATATTTTAGGAGATATATTGCATTTTATTGATTTCTAAAACTTTTAACTGCTATAGGTAAAGTTTGTTCGAACAATAAGTTTAGTTTAATTGAATATGCAATTTTCAAAATTTTGTATTAATGTAAAAGCATTATATTTTTTCACTGAATATTTTTTTGTATCTGTTCAATTATGCTAATATTGAAAGCACACATAAGTGTAAACATCCTGTAACATATTTTGAGTGTTGCATTTCGTTATAGGTGAAAAATTAACTGAAAACTTGTTTTCTAGTGCTATATTATTAGACTAGGTTAATTTACAGAGTGCACGGATTGTGCACGTATTTTTAACGTATTGTGCGCGGATTAGAGAGGAAAAAGCGGGATTTTCATGCTTGTGAGGAGGGATTTCTTCCGGAGCTGTGTGGCAACACTGGTTATTATACAGGCGTTATTTAAAACTGCAGTAATATCAGTCATAATTTTCGATTTTGATAATTTTAAAAGACTTAAAGCTTATGTAACTAATTGAAATACTCACTCTATTAATAACGGGTTGAAATAATAAACACTTACTGTGAAAATATTTTATCATTTTTTGAAGCAGGCCTTATTTTTTAGTGTTTTATAAAAATGTTTCCCGACTTAAAAGCTGTTACCAGTAAACATTTCTTGCATTTATTCATTTGATCTAACATTAGGTAGGTTTTCTTTACCACTGTGACAACATGATTTGTATATTCTTCATGATTTTTTTACTTGATAAATAAGTTTCATAGCAGAACTGGTAAAAATTATTCATCTCTCCAAGTGATTGTGTATCTGGATTCCTTACTGTCCCGCCTCTCTTCTACTCTTCTCATACATATAAAATTTCCTCATAACCTCCTCCTGTTTTTAATATTTCTTCTTTAAACTCATGACATTTTCTGTTCTTCCAACAAAACTGATTAACTGTTTGGATTGATCTATAACCTCATGAATATTACAAACATTAATATTTACTCCCAAGTTGAGGTGAGGTGAGTTTCTTTTTACATACAGCCGTTTTTTTGTTTTTAAATTTGTTCAATGTATAATTCTTATGGTGAAAACCTGACCTTTGAAAGGGTCTCACGCCCTTTTGGGTAGGTAAGGGTAAGAAAGGGGTAGGAACTTGAATTCTAAAACCTTAATGCAAAACTACGAATTGGGCCGAATATTTTGACACCTTAAACTTTGAAATTGGTCCACAAATAAGGGAGGAGTAGTGTTCACAAAAAAAAAAAAAAAACAAAAAAAACAGCCCTCACGTATTAATATAAGAGATACTTTGAGAAGTTTTAAATATATAAATACATAAAACTAGAGACATAGCACAATTTTTTTGAGTGACAACACTCACTTAATTATGAGTCCCATTATATTTTCATTTTTGCTGTTGAAAACGCAGACGACAATCCAGAGACCACGTCGGTCCGTCTTAACCTGAACCTGATTCAGTTTACTTCCAGTCCTGCCGACGGCAATGTACACACGTGAATTGATAGGCCTAACTGTAATTGTTTCGTGTTCTGTGTTAAATGTTTGTAACGTATTCTGACGACACCTCCAAAAGTGGATCTTTTGTAAATCCTGACAATGGTGGAGTTAAAGATCCTCCAAAACATATCTAGCAAGTAAAATTTGACACTGGTATATTCAAGGGCGGTCCTAGACATATATTTTGGGGGGGTCACCGGGGGGCCTGGGGGGTGAACATGCTAAAATGAGTGGTTGTTAAGCTATTTTGAGGACCTAGTTTAATGTGTTCAAGCTTCCCAGTTTATTTAAAGGTCAAAGAAATGTCTAAAAATAAACTTGTATAATGTCATGTTTTTGCATTATTGAGACTTGTGGTTTTAATATCAAAGGAATACCGCAACATTACAACAAATTCAAGCATTATTGATTTACGAAAACACCCTTTCAACTGGTGCCGATGTGCATGCTAAACAGAAAATGTCCAAAATCAGACCAATATTTCGAAAAAGAGAACTTATTTTATCTAAGAAGTGTTTAAGAACTTGCACCAAACACGACTGCATTATACCTGCCCAGTAAGCAACAGTTAACCTACACAAAGTACACTACCCAACTAACGTTGCGTCGGCGTCCCGTCACTGCTACCGCCTGAAGAATTGGTTCTCAGTGTTCTCATTTTTTTCTACACCAGTGCCAGTGGCAATTTACAAGGGGTCAACGTGAGAATAAAGTTTTTGTGCAACGTTTTTGTGGTTGTGCCGGGAATTAATTCCGTCCCTTCCGCATCTAAGTCTGAGACACTACCATTTTGTTGTTTTGTGGCTAGCAACATGCCAATTGGGTTGTGTTATTCTTAAATATGATATCAGGTGCTCTAAATATGAATACTATTTAATATTGAAAGTTTTGAAATTTGCTATGGTAATCATTGAATTACATTACTGTAATTACAAATTCCTAACGCTGAACTCAGATAAATTAATATTCAACTACCTTTTAAACTTTGACTATTGATACAACTTCTTTTCTTTATCCAATACCCAATTCAAGTTTTCAATCATCTGGGTTAAAATGAATTATAACATTAAATGCCGAAAAATTAAATAAGAAGAATGCAGCCGAACGTCGAACGTCAGCATCGGACACTGCCGTTGCCATATATGGCTGAAAGCGTCCGTTGTCTGCCGATCTTCCCTACTTTTCATAACGTACTAAAACATAATCAGGCTTGAACGATCCCAAGTTTTAGGTTAGACTTTGTAATTAGTCCTTTCGTTCGCTACAAGTGTAAAGACTACAACGAATTTCAATTTGGTAAAACAATTTGCAATAAAAATTATTAATGTTTCCCTGGTATAATAGTTTATGTATATAAAAAATATTTTGGGGGGGTCATGACCCCCTGACCCCCCCCCCCCCCCCGCCTGGGACCGCCCTTGGGTATATTAAGGATTGTATGACAAAGTGCGTTTTTACCATTCTTAGAAGCAATATTAATTACGAACGGCAAAATGTTGTTGGTGTTGATAGTGAGCTAGGCCTACTTAGAAACACTTTTTCGGGCTGCTTATACAAAACTATACAGTCATTATGACAGCTACAAAAAAATATCCCCCCTCAAAATCCCCTAAAATAAGCTCCCCCCAAACATTCCTGTGGCGCAAACGCGCCACAGTACCCCCCGTCTGTGCACCCCTGGGGGGGGGGGGGTAAATAAAAACAACAAAAGTTGGATAAAAGAAATTGGTTTATTAGTTTATTAGCTCTATGGTAGCTTGTGTGTATTTATTTTTAATGCAGAATTCTGTAATGTAATAATTTATCTTGAGGGGGTTACTACTTGCTCTTGCAATTTAAATTTGATTGTCAAAACTATGCTTTTAAAAATATATGTAAATTTCTAGCCAAAAACGGGGCACCGCCTTCAGAAGCAGCTTCTCTAGCCAAACATGTGGTTACAAATTGTCCCAATTTGAACATATTGGGTCTAATGACAATTGGAAGATTCGATCATGACCTTACACAAGGGCCGAATCCGGATTTCCAGGTACAAATAGATAGAAAAGACACATTTGCATTTCAGATATATTGCCTTGATTACTGTTTAAGCACTGAACTTCAGTTCAGACACAACCACAATTCCTTATTGCAAGATGTATACTCTATGATAGTACGGCCGTATAGAATGGCTCTTAGAGTAGATATAAAAAGAACAGTGGCGGATGTACTATTTGGGCTAACGGGCTTAAGGGTGCGCTCTACCTCAGCTCGGGCTTCAGTAGCTATGTTGCGCCATTGAACAGCGCCGCGAGAAGCGCTTGCAGAGGTGTCCAAGATGCCTGTTTTCAAATTAACCAATAATGATAGCTACGCACTCTAAGTGGCTTATAGTAGTACAAAGAACAATCTATAGTTCTTCGTTTTTCAAATTTTCAAATGGTGTTTTTTTAATAAGTTAGGGCTAGTTGAAAAGACCTTTTTTCTTGTCCTACAACTCAAGTTTATAAGGTGTGTATTAGAATAATTGAAAAAATTAAACCACAAACTATATAAAATATCATCCTCTTTAATATGAGACCTTAACTTCGATTCTACCTTCAATGTAGCAGGTGAAAACAGAAATCTTGCAAAAACCTTGCATTCGGTAGCGCGTCAGGGGTAAAGCGCGCCCTTAAGTCCCCTCCCCTTGGACTCTTAAACTTACACTAGATAAAACAAGCCTCGTGCTCCGCAACTTACACTAGATCATGCTGGGTAAAACAAGCTCAAGCTCTAAAAAATCACAATTTTTGAAAATTACAAGAAAATAAATGTTGTGCAATATTTTTACGTAGTTTTGCGTTATGAGAAAATACTGAGTTAGAGATATTTTTGTTAAACTTTAACAACTAAATCTAGACTTCTACTGGACCGATTTTTAAAATTAATGGGTCATTGGAAATCCCAGTTCATGTAGATTTGCAAATAATTATGAAAGTGTGATTTTATTAAATATTTGTGGTGAAAAAGTAAAAATAACAAAAATACATTAATACCCCCGCCGCACCAAACCTGCAGACTAAGCGAATTTCAACTTGTCTGATTACATTTTTACTAAAATATTTCCATAAATGAGACATATTTATTCACAATTTAAATTACATTAGATTTAACCAGAGCTTAGGTTTGCTGCTACGGGGAAGGTAAAAAGTGTTTTTTGACCATATGTCAATAGTATAAAATGAAATAAATAAATTTGCCAAATTTTATCAACATATACCCATAAACAAGTAAACTACAACAGTTTTCATTTTCTCCATAAGAACAACACAGGAATTTTAAATTACATATTTTTTTTAATTTTCTCCGTGACTGTTAGGCATAAAACAGCTCTTCAATATACTAAATTATTTATTTTTTTAAGCTCTACAAAATGGTTGAGAAAGAAATTGCAAAAATTTTTATTTTTAGGGTTAAAAATGGGAAAACCCCATTTTTACCCCATAAAACCCCCCCTAAACCCCTGTTCCCATGGTCCGATTATGCTGGTTCGCGAACTCGTTTGAATAAACGTAGGTTTACACGTTAGTACCAAATTTCATCAAAATCGGATCATATACGCTCGAGTTATCGCGCTAACGGACACATATATAAATATATATATAAATATATGAATTTGAACAGATGGTGTTTTTGGCTTCTGGGGACCTCAAAACGAAAAAGTAAATCGGTCCCGAGTCTAGGTCTTATAATGAGACCTACGGTAATAGCTTATTTCCTATATGGGAAATTCGCTAAAAACTGCTTATTTCAAGTTTATGTTTTCAAGTTTCTATTTGTAGCCAGCTTTTGGAAGTATTTTCAAGAAGTTCATGGTAGTTATTTGCAGTAGCCTAAATTTTATCCTCTTTCAGAATATCACATCCACTTTGGTCGATTCCTTTAAAAGTTATAGGCAATAAGCTAAGTGACCTCCAAATTTATAGTGGTGAGAAAATACTGAATTACATATCTTTTTGTTAAACTTTGTACAACTAAATCTAGACTTCTACCGGAACGATTTTGTTCCTTAATGGGTCATTGGAAAGACTAATTCGTGTATATTTGCAAATAGTTATGAAAGTTTGATTTTATTACATATTTGAGGAGAAAAAAAAAACAGTAATACATTTAAAACACCTTTTTCCAAGTTTATATTTCCAACTTTATATTTTTAGCCAACTTAAGGCTGCCATAATTGAGTATTTTCAAGAAATACATTATAGTTATTTGTAGGAAATTTTATTCTCTATCAGAATATCACTACTACTTTGATCAATTTACTCACCATTTCAAAGATCTTTGCAAAATTGTTAAGCAACCTCCCAATTTATAGTGGTGAGAAAATACTGAATTAAAGATGTTGTTGTTAAACTTTGTACAATTAAATCTGCAGTTTTACTGAACCGATTTTATTAATTTATAGGTCATTGGGAAGCCTAATTCATGTGGATTTTCAAATAATTACAAAAGTTGGATTTTTTTAAGATTTACTAGGTGAAACCTGTCAAAGTCGACAGTTACAGTTGAGGTTTCAAGCAAATGGAAGCTGGTATTTCACCGAAGGTTCTTAGGTCAAAACAAATAGTATGAGGTAATTAGAATTGAATAACTATATCTAAAACTAAATTCCATATTCAAGATATAATTAAATTTATGTTTTCTGATTAAGCGATACAGTATCTCGAACTTAACTGATTAAAACTATCAATATCTCAAAGGAAAGCCTTTATTTCTAGAAGTATTTTAAGACCAAGACATATAAAATAATTTAAATAAAAATAGAGTTACATATCATTGATTGCAGATAAGTACCTACTAAAACAATTATAATTATTGTTGATTCGTGATTCAGCAGTGTGCTTTAGGTAGTCCAATCTTAATAATCAATAGCTCAAATGAAAGCTGGTATTTCACTAATGGTTTTTAGATCAAAACATATAGGGTAACGTTATTAGAACTGCTGGAATACATCTTTAATTGAAGTAAAAAAATCTAATTTATATTTTTTTGTCGAGTCATACATTAGATAAATTAATGATGATGCTTGATGACAAATATGTGCTTGCATAGTTTATTTTAAGACTAACATTATGAAAATCGGTTGGGTAGAAGAGCCAAACGAACTTGAAATAACCCAAATTTAACTCCTATAAGAAATGTACAGGGAGGCAGTTTGTGCATAACTCGAAATATACGTCAAAATGAATGCTGATGCTTGATGGCAAGTAAAGGTTGCGTCCATACCTTTAGTTTAAGGCCAATTTATGAAAATCGGTCGGGTAGAAGAGCTAACCCTACTCGGACCAATAAAGACAATAAAGAAAGACCAATAATTTTTATATATGGCAATAATTGGTTTACCATCATGCATAATCTAATCATACGAAACATGTGTTAATAATTGACAGCTTATTGTTATATTGTTGTTTAATTGATTTTTCTTTGATTAAATGTTGTTCAAATTTTGCATTTGTGTTTAAAGTGTGTTCCTTATGTTAAGTGTGTGATTATAATGTTACTAGTGTACATGTTGCTCGAAATCGAGCAATTGCAAAGAAGTACAGGAGTTATTTATAAACAAATTACTTGTTTAAAAACTAATAACAGTCATAATTTCCAATGATTTTAAAAGAGTCAACTAAAAGATTATTAACCAATGGAAATACTCACAATTCACAGTCCTATTCCAGTTTAAAGGGTGAATTTTTAACAATCAAACTGCCCATGGACGGGAAAAGGTAAGCTTACAATAAGTCAACGTAAAAAGGCTGGCAGCTTCTATAAAGTACCGTACCTAAGTTATTTAGCCAATTTGTAGACAATAAGGTGTAGGCTACTTTAAACTCTACAGGACAGAGTTAGGCAAAAACTGGCAAAACTCTGAAATGGTGTTATTTATCATAGGCTTACATATATGCCAAATCCTTAAAATAAAAATTTAATAACTAATAACTTATATCATTAAACACCAACCACCATCCAAAACTATACACATTTGTAATACAACATAGATAATTTACACATTGACTGTTTACAATTAACATATGTTCTTCTTCTAACTAATAATTTTTGCTTCGCAACGGGAAAAATCTGTTTCGTAATCATTGAAATAGATTTATAATAAATAATCTAAAACTACCACATAGTTGTTTTATTTTTTTTATCGGCTGTCTGAAATTGTGAAATAAACATCTGACAGTTCTGGTTGTTTACATTTAAATGTCAAAGCAAATGTAAACATTGTGAATTTTACCTCCCTCAAGTAACAGAAATAAAATACTTGGGCATGCACTTAGATGCAAAGCTTAATTGGAAGGCACATATCTGGACTAAAAGACAACATCTAAATTTAAAAACAACTAAACTTAATTGGCTTCTTGGATCTAAATCACAACTCAGTACACAAAATAAATTGTTACTGTACAAAACAGTTTTAAAACCAATTTGGACTTATGGTATTCAGCTTTGGGGATCAGCAAGTACCTCAAACATTGAAATTATTCAACGTTACCAATCAAAATTATTACGTAAAATTGTCAACGCTCCTTGGTTTGTTACCAACAGAACACTTCACAATGATCTTCAAATTCGAACAGTAAAAGAAGAAATTACAAAATCTAGTTAAAAATACATTATAAAATTGGAAAATCATTCAAATCATCTTGCACTTAATTTATTGGACAATCACAACACCATTTACAGACTGAAGCGACATACGATATTGGACCTACCATTCAGATTCGGCTAAGTGTTATCAAAATTCTCTTTGTTAGCTAGTGTTGACGGTGGTCAATCACTAGCTCATGTTCTTCAAGTTATTTTTGTACTGTATTACTATTTATATCATTTGCTTATTGTTCAACTTGAACAGATTGAAAATTAAATAAAGTTAAAAAAAAAAAAAAAAAATGCTTCCATGGAGACCAATTTTGAATATTTAATTTCTGACAACAGCTGGAGTTTCAAAACAATTTTTGTTTCCCATGTTAATCTTATGGAGAAATACGAAACTTTAAAGGTCCCCAT